CCGGTACGGGGGCAATACTGAGGGTTGCAATCCGTTGCCGGACACAGAAAAAGACAAAAAAGACAAAAAAAAAAAAAAAATTCCAAAGCAGGCCTAAGGCCAAACACACTGCCTGCCAGAGGAAAAGGAGAGCCCCTCTCCCCTTTTTAGAATGAGACTGGAAAACACAGCTTCCAGGAGGTGGAGTTAGAAACCCAGAGCGTGGCGCCCTGCGGTCCCTCCAGGAAGGAGAGACACAAAGGGCGCTGGCTCCTGGGAGGCCCTCAAACTCGAAGCCAATCCCTCCTTCTAGTCACCACCGGCCGCTTTCAAGGGCAGGACACAAGCCTCCCTTTCTCGGATCTCTGGAGCCAGGGTGAGGATGGGGTGGGGGGTAAATACCTCTAGTTATTTAATTTATTCAGGGGTTAATTATTACTGACCTAAGCGGTTTACGTCCTTTGCTTAATTCTCACAATCATCCTGGGAATTGTGTTATTAGTCCCATATGTCCTTGTCTACAAAGGTCAGAGAAGAGGCGCAGAGCAGAGCGGGGATGTGCCCAGCCAGAGGGGGGATCAGAGCCAGGCTCTCGAATTCCCAGGCCGGGGCCCCGCGAGCGCCCGGCTCCTTCCNCGTGGACCTGGATTCTGATTACCCAATCATCATGTCCAGAACATTCTCCTTCCTTCTGTTTCTCTTGTTCTCAATGCTTCAATCCTGTAACATAAGGAAATCAGACACAGGAAAATAAAAAACAAAACAACCGTCCACACGGAAGTCGCCAAGTTATGTTAAAAATCCATCTGGAGGCTTGGTTCCTTCCTAGTTCTCATTCCCTGATGGAAGGCCACTGACACCAACACCAGCCTAAGCTAAAACTGCCTTTCGTTTTAAGGTTGCTTGATTGTAAGGTGCAGAGAAGGAAAAGTAGTTTGCTAGGGGCTATAAGATTAGGTCGGTGATGTCACAAAAGAGGTTTTCAAGTGTCAGCAGAGGCTGTAGTGATGACTAAGGAAATTGATAAATGGCAGCATATGAAATAGCTACTCACCCTGACAAGCAGTGGAGATTATTACAGGTAGGACATTATGAGAAATATCATCACGACAAAAATGTTTCATTCTAGATTTTAGAACCCCAGGTATTAGCTCACTTAGGTCAAAAAAAAATTATAAATAGAGTTAGAGCTAAATAAACAATAAGTAAATGTTAGCCCCTTGGAGCGCGTTGTAATTGGTTTCGACCCCTATATTAAAATATATGACCCAGGACATAAGTCAGACCAGATCCCCTTGCTCTCCCTAGTAATCATTTCCAGGGCCAAAAAGCAGACTTGTGAAACTGGGTCCGAGTTGATCCCAGAAAGCAAGATCTACAAGCACAAGGGCCCCATTTTAGGGCTAAATGACATCGCCTGGGGACACCCCACTCTTTAATAGGTTCTGGCATCACTGGAGATTAACATCGCTAATCTGATGTTAACTGGCCACAAAGGAAAAGGAAATAAAATTCCGGTTCTGAAAGGGCAGCTGGAAAGATGCTGGGCTTCTCAAACTGGGTTTTACATTCCAAAGCAGGCCTAAAAGGGGCCGGCCTGATGGCGCACTGGATAAGTGCGCCGCTTGGGAAGCACGGCGGCGCCCCCGCCCNTCTCTGGGGTTACCATGGCGTTTGGGAAGAGTCACCGGGATCCCTACGCGACCTCCGTGGGTCACCTGATAGGTAAGGAGGCGCGGGGACAGACGCCCGGGCAGGCTTTGGGGCTGCGGGATCCTGATCCCTTCCCGCTTGACTCCGTTCTCTCGGCCTGCGGAGAACAGAGTTGGTCTAAGTTGGAAGAAACTCGTCCCCTCCCCCTGCCACTTTCCCAGGGCACCCGCGTGCCGCCCGGACCCTTTCGGCACTTCTTTCGGTCGATTCACTGTAGAACCTCCCCCTGGCCCGCCATCCCCCACAAGTGTCCCTCCCTTTGGATGCCCCCTGGGAAGTGGAAGCAAACAGGTGAATCACGGCGCTCAGGCGCACAGTGTTTGGGCCTGATCGAGGAGAGACCGGAAACTTCTCGACCAGAGGACGGTTATTCATACAGTGCGTTCCCTCGAGTGCACTGTGTCGTTACGCCCGCTGTTCAGATGAGGAAAAGAAGGCTCATGGGTGTGACCTCACCGTGAGGGACACGTCTCTCCAAACCAGTTTTCTCTAGCGCCAAACCAAACTCATACAACCTGCGTTGCTTCTCTGGGTAAAAAAAGAGAATGAAAATGCCAGGCATTGGAGTGAAGGAACGGGGAGCCAAGGAGCCTCCTGGGGTCACAGAGGCCCCTCGCAGGCCACTAGGGACCCAGCGGGCATCGACCTAAATCATGTCCCTCCCTTGGCTGTGCTCTGAATCATGCATGCGCCAGCTCCCTTCTCCCTGATGCCTCCCTTGGGATCCCGGTGAGCCCGATGATGTAGGGAACTTCGTGGGGTGATGAAATCTTGAGAACCTGGCAGTTGTAGCAAGGAAGCTCAGATTTGGAGAGGTTAGCTTGCAGCTTAATTAACTGCTCAATTAAGCGTGACACTGAAGACCGCCCTTAACCTGAACCTTAGTTTCCACATCTTTATAAGATTGTAAGATTGACGAGAAAATGCTTTCTAAACCGTTGATGGCTACACCTTGTTGATTACTGGATATTAGAAACGGCTTCAGACTCCATCGTCGATCTGTAAACGAAACTTCAGCGATACGTCTGATTAATTCTTGAATTCTGTAAACATTTACTAACTGCCAGCTATATATGCCTGGACCTGGGCCATGCACTGGTGACATGGTCTCAAACCTCAGGGACTGACCTTCTTGCAG